ATTAACAATAGGTAGATGTAATCAAGATGTTTACCCAGGGGGTTGACATTTGACTGTACCTAACAAAGCATGCAGCAATATTTGAACCAAGAACTTCCAGATGTTCAAGCTGGTTTTAGAAAAGGCAGAGGAACCAGAGAGCAAATTGCCAACATCTGCTGGATCATTGAAAAAGCAAAAGAGTTCCAGAAAAACATCTATTTCTGCTTTATTGACTATGCCAAAGCCTTCGACTGTGTGGATCACAATAAACTGTGGAAAATTCTGAAGGAGATGGGAATACCAGACCACCTGACCTGCCTCTTGAGAAACCTGTATGCAGGTCAGGAAGCAACAGTTAGAACTGGACATGGAACAACAGACTGGTTCCAAATAGGAAAAGGAGTACGTCAAGGCTGTATATTGTCACCCTGCTTATTTAACTTATATGCAGAGTACATCATGAGAAATGCTGGGCTGGAAGAAGCACAGGCTGGAATCAAGATTGCCAGGAGAAACATCAATAACCTCAAATATGCAGATGACACCACCCTTATGCCAGCAAGTGAAGAGGAACTAAAAAGCCTCTTGATGAAAGTGAAAGAGGAGAGTGAAAAAGTTGGCTTAAAGCTTAACACTCAGAAAACTAAGATTATGGCATCCAGTCCCATTACCTCATGGGAAATAGATGGGGAGACAGTGGAAACAGTGTCAGACTTTATTTTTTGGGGCTCCAAAATCACTGTGGATGGTGACTGCAGCCATGAAATTAAAAGACGCCTTGGAAAAAGTTAAAATTAAAAGACGCCTTTCCTTGGAAGGAAAGTTATGACCATCCTAGATAGCATATTAAAAAGCAGAGACATTACTTTGCCAACAAAGGTCCATCTGGTCAACGCTATGGTTTTTCCAGTGGTTATGTATGGATGTGAGAGTTGGACTGTGAAGAAAGCTGAGCACCGAAAAATTGAAGCTTTTGAACTGTGGTATTGGAGAAAATTCTTGAGAGTCGCTTGGACTGCAAGGAGATCCAACCAGTCCATCCTAAAGGAGATCAGTCCTGAATGTTCATTGGAAGGACTGATGCTGAAGCTGAAAGTCCAGTACTTTGGCCACCTCATGCGAAGAGTTGACTCATTGGAAAAGACCCTGATGCTGGGAGGGACTGGGGGTGGGAGGAGAAGGGGACGACAGAGGATGAGATGGCTGGATGGCATCACCGACTCGATGGACATGAGTTTGAGTAAACTCCGGGAGTTGGTGATGGACAGGGAGGCCTGGCGTGCTGCGATTCATGGGGTCACAAAGAGTCGGCACGACTGAGCGACTTCACTTTCACTTTTCCCTTTCATGCATTGGAGAAGGAAATGGCAACCCACTCCAGTATTCTTGCCTGGAAAATCCCAGGGACAGGGGAGCCTGGTGGGCTGCCGTCTACGGGGTCGCACAAAGTCAGACACGACTGAAGCAACTTAGCAGCAGCAACAAAGCATGACATAAATACAGCAAGTAATCTAAGCACAATACAAGATGAGGCACATATGGCTATGTCTTTAACATACCCATGAACAGCTTTCCGGTATGGAAACAGTGTGGTAATTGTGACTTCTATATTTAAAACAACTGGACTTCAACTGCTGCATTCAAGTATTTAAAATAATATTAAAGGAAAGGAACAAGAGGGCCTTTCATATGTTAATAGTACTTCTCACACACTTGATTAGTGTTAATAACAGTAGGGAAGCACAATCCATAAAATCCATGAGGACAAAATCGTGGCTACAAATAGAAATATGCTTTGCTCTGAAACTGCATATCGTCCCCTTCTCTTTAAAAAATACACAGAAGAATATAAAAGTGAAAATTTCATCACTCAGAGAAAACCACTATTATCATTTTGGTATATTACACAGTGTTTTTCCTGTACACATATGTGAACATATGATTTACCTAATCTAAAATCTACTCAAAATGCTTTTTAACTTAACATTTTATTGTATTTCCAGGTCATTAAATTTATCTTCAAAATCATGTCTCTGTATTTTTCTACATGCTAAATGTCTTACTTTTTATATGACACATTTTCTGTTGTTGGAACTTTTTTTTACTCTTTATTTTCCTACCATGAAAATAAGGTCATATTGTGAAGTAATTAGCCTCCAACTAATAAAAATTTAAAAAAAAAGAAAATAAGGTCACTTTTCCACTCCATATCTATTTGACGCTGAAAACAAACAAACAAAAAAAACAGGCTTGAAATTCTGTGTCTTTTTTTCAAGAGTGCTTCTTGAAAAACAATTACATAGTAGCACTACCAAAAAAAAAAAGATAAAATAAACTAGGAGACATGTGTCACTTACTGTTCCAGTGAAAGACTGATTACCGAAAATGACAGGATCACAAGATGATAAAGATCAACACAGCAGAAATGAAGAGGAAAGGGATGCAGAAATAATGATCACACAATTACAGAGATGGAGAGGAAGCAGGGAAACGACCCAGAGGGTGGAGGACGACACAGCTTCCAGCAGGGCAGGAAAAAAAAGGCTATTTTACATACTCAGCAAATGTTCTGAACTATACGGAAGGTGAAAGGGCTGGTGCTGGTGAGAACAGCAAACTGTTAATACACAGAACTTCTGCCATAAAGAATGTTCTTGATAATGCTACGGGGATTACAAAAAATTCACCTGTCACCATGCTGACAAAGAAAACAGGATGCATTTAGAGACAGATGATCCATGGATTTGCCGTAACGGAACAACAGCCAATAGCTTAAGTGGCAGTTGAGTTGTGATTAGCATTTGTCATTATTTTATTCAATACTTTGCAAGACAGAAACATATCAAGTCACTTACAAGTAAGAAATGGATGCATATGTTCATTCAACAAAAACTCTGAACACCTCCCCACACACAGCTTGGGTATCATTTTGAGGCTGAGTCCTCCTACTGCCAAGTTCCCACAAGGAGAGAAATTAGACACATGAACTCTCATGACAGTCTGTACCTATCCTCCTTGGTACTGGTTTCAGTTTGGATGACACATTTCATTTTTGGTATCTGTGATTATTTGATTAATGTCTGTCATCTCACTAGACTGTAAGTTCTACAAGGGTAGGAATTTTATGTGTTTTGCTCACCACTGTTTTCCTAGCATAGTGCCTGGCACATAATAGATGTTCAATGAATATTTGTTGAAAAAAATGAACAAATACTTTCAAAAGTTAGTGATAAGTGTTATAGGAGGTACATAGATAAAGACCACTAAAGTCTCAGGACAGGGTGATTAGTTCCAGATAAAAGCTGAAAGTTTTCAAAGAAGAGATAGTTTTGAAAGTCAGGAGATGGAATTAAACAATATAATCACATAGGCAAGAAGGAATAGGACATAAACAAGTAAAGTAGAAACAGTTAGAAGAGAGGAAAGTAGGTAAATAAAAGTATTGCAAGACTGATGGTAGATGGTGACTGCCAGTGGGATACGAAGGGCCAGGAGAAGCAAAGAGCTTGAAGATGAAACCAGGGGAGTCAGAGGATGGGATTCACAGAGAAATGCAAAGAGAAGATGGATGAGGTCATGGAGAGCATAGGACTTCAGATTCAAAATGTACCGCGGTCACTCCGCAGGGGATGACAAGCAAGCTGCTGGCAATATGGGTTGGGAGGTTTATGCAAAGACCAGCTCTTGAGACACCTTCACAGAGATTCTGCTTGCAGGCATCAAAGTGGATGAGGCTGTCCAGGGAACGATGACAGAGAAAAGCAGAGAACCAGGACAGGCGCTTGAGAAATGTTGACATTATCGGCAGAGTTATTTTCTACGTAGTTCAGGAAGATGGAGAGGCCCATAAAACCCACTTATACACGCAGCTTTGTCTTCTGCCGCCCTGTTAGAAAAGCCCAAGGAACACCCCAGTATCCAGTATGGCGGCCACGTCCAAGGAAACAGTGCAGTTCTAACTCCACTGAATGGGAACAAAAAAGAGCAGGGGCATTTCCGTGGGCTGGCATTCTGCTCAAGAAGAACATGTATCATCAGACTCGTGATTCTCCCCCTTTTAAATACAAAACGGAGTTTACATAAAAAGGAAATGTCAATTTGATTACTCTTGGGCATTAAGACAGAGATGCCCAAGCCAAGTTTCCCAATATAGCATGGCACTAGCAAACTATTCCAGAAGCACAAGCTATATCTGCTGAGCTCCTCTTGGTAGTACCTTAAATAACATCATCGAGGTGTTATATGAGAGGTGTAGTTGGGTCCCCACAGAAAACTGTGCCTGGAAATACAACTCAACTCATCTCCATCCCATAGGGTCAGGAGTGTCAAGCTCAAACACAAGAAGGGGCAGAACAGTTACTCAACATGTTACTTTTCCAATATTAAGTTCAGTCGCTCAGTCCTGTCGGACTCTTTGCGACCCCATGAAGCGCAGCACGCCAGGCCTCCCTGTTCACCACTAACTGCCGGAGTCCACCCAAACCCGTGGCCATCGAGTCGGTGATGCCATCCAGCCATCTCATCCTCTGTTGTCCCGTTCTCTTCCTGCCCTCAATCTTTCCCAGCATCAGGATCATTTCAAATTCAGTTCAGTTTCCAATGTTGGGTATCCGCATTTTAAAGTCACAGGCCTCTGAAGATTATTAAATTGTTGGACCAGGCGAAGGACTTGATAGAAAGTAGCGAGCCCTATTGTTACAGAAGGGGGGGCGGGGCGGTGGTGGCGGCTGGGGAGGGAGGAATCTGTGTCCAACTTTCCGCAGAAACTTTCAACCTGAGTTCCATCCCTTCTGACAGATGCGACTTTGATGGGTCTAGTTTTGCAGACTAGACGGGTCTTTTGGCTCACAGATTCCACAGGCCACGTGAGTGAAAAGATCTGTAGAGTGCGAGCAGGGGCACCTGGGACTGAACCCCTCTGATCTCCGGTTTTGAAGATACCCAATGGGGACCTCTCGGTGGAGAAGGTGGTTGCCAGGATCAAATGAGAAAAGACGCGCTGAAACGTCACGCTGCTGTCACCCAGGTACGGCGTTGCTGCGCTCCAGGTGTGCTCGCCTCGGCCTCCCCACGGAGGACGGGCCGCGCCGGGAGGAGGCAAGGTCACCCCCCTCCCCGGGCCAGGCGGCGCGGCAGAGCCTCACTTCCCGGGCGTGTTCGGGCGGGGCGTTCCCAGGGGACCGGGCCGAGAGGCGGCACTCCCCGGGCTCCGCTCTGCGCCCGCCGCCGCCCTCCCGGCCCGGAGGCGCCGCTGACCCGGGTCCCCAGGCCGCCGGAGCTCGCGCGCAGCCCCGAGAGGTGAGGGCGGGTCGGGGAGGCGGGGACAGAGGTGGGGGCGGGGAGCCGCGCCGATCGTCCGGAGGCCCGCGAGCCCAGGGAAGCCCGCACCCGGGCCGCGGCGAGAGGAAGCGCTGGCGGAGGGACGGCCCCGGGCTCTGCCCCAGGCCTCCGGGGGCCGCGCGGCAACTTCTCTTTGGAAGCCCCGGGGGCGCGCGGGCGCGCGCTCCCATGGGGGCACGCGCGTCCCCGGAGCCCGGCTCCCCCGCGCGCCCTCCGTCTATTTTTTTTTTCCCCCATCGCCTTCATTCTCACACTCTTAAGTAGGTCACCGGTTGGAAGTTACACCCGATGCAGCCCCTGGCTGTGATGCAAAGGCAGCTTTTTCCGCCTCGGCTTCGGGGAGGGGGGGCGCGAAATGCATTGCAACTATTCGGTTCCCTAGAGCTGCCCGCCCCCATACCTCGCGGCCAGCGCCGGCGACCGTGGCGTTGACCGTGGTCCGCAGAGGGGGGAGGCAGGGAGCCTCCCTTCCACCCTAGTTGGGCCGGCCCCGCGCCTGCCCTCCCCGCCTCGGATCCGGAGGAGGGGGCGCGACAGGTCGCCTCCCGAGCTCTCCGGCGCCCGCGTCCCTGGTCTGACTGCCTGGGGTGAGTGCCTGTTCTTCCGCTGTCACTCCAGTCGCCGAGGGTGACCTGCTTACCTTGAAAACTTAGACGTGACCCGAACAGCGGAGCCTGGCGTGCAGGAAGGGACTGCGGGGATGGGCTTCGGATGTGACACCGGATAAATCAGAACCCAGAGCTGCAGGCGACCTGTTTCGTGTCTAAAGGTGAAAATGAATGTGTTTTCCTGGAGTACACGTGTATCTTTCCCTTTGGAGGCTATCACTTGGGAATTGATTTTTAACTAGCTGGAGGCGATAAACGAACATAACTTGAAGCCAGAAAGTTTATCAGGGAATATTTTTTAGTTGATCTGGAAGAACTTATAGAAATAGTCCAAGCTGATGTCAAAAATACAGTTTAAGAAAGAATATCAAAACGGGACTGACAGAATTTGTGTAGTATTTGCTCTAAGTGTCCTTACATGTTATCTGAGTTCTTTGTGATAAATGTTCTAAGCGTGCGATGCATAGAAAGGGGGTTCGGTTGTGAAGAACTACTGCAAAGGTAAAGCTTTATATTGGCATGTCTGCATGCATTTAAATGTACACAGAATGCTTCCTGTGGGCGAAAAGCTAGAACGCAGCTATGTCATTTGAGTTTAAGGTTACTGGCAATAATACAGGTTAACAGTTGGCTTTTAACTCCTTGTTTCAGGAGCTGAACTACTATTATTCATGTGACTCATTAGCACAGTGAATCCTTGACATTTCTGACTGATGACCGGTTAATCTGTCTCTTGAAGTTTAGGAAGGAACAATTGTAGGTTTTTCTGTCCTGATGCCCGGCTGGAAACGCAGTATGAAGGAGTCTCCAGGGATGGTGAGGGCTGCTCTAGAGCAGCTCAGAGGGAAAGATCATTTGAAGAGAATGAAAGCGACTCCCTGGTGGCCCCTGATTGCCCATAACTTCTTTTAAAGTGGACCCTGACAGGTTGGAAAGGATCTATCTCCTCACCAAGGAAACTGCTCCAGAGGACTGCTTTCTTAATGCATTCGGTCAGATTTGAGAGGCGGGCTCTCTATAGACTCTTATCTTAGTTCAAAAGAAATCCTTTTCTAGGAAGATTCAATTAATGAAATGATGTTCTTTGGAAATACTTTGTCCTTTTGTGTGTCTGTCTTAATATAGCAAAAGCATCAAGGTTTTAATAAGATTTTACTTACTGGAGGGATGGGAAATGAAAAATGCTATGTCCTCATGGTTAACTCTGCCTTAAAGCAGAGGGGCAGTGGTGGTGGTGGGGGGTGCTTTCCCAATACATCTTAACGTATATACGTACATCTCTGTGTACGTATATCTTCTAAAGCCAAATCCTAATGGGGATTAAGAGGACTGTAAAGAAAGTATTAATACTTTCAGTATTTCTGATAGATGGAAACGGGGATATTTATATTCATTCCACTTGTAAAGAATTCATATGTGCCTTTAGAAAACATGTGTCCAAAATTTGAGACACATTATGATGAACACATTATTATCACTACCTTGAAGAAGGCCGAGAGGGCCAGACAAACTTGGCAATAAACAGGATCTCAGTGCTGAGGAAGAAATGCAACTAAATCCTGTTTTTACTGCATGTTGATGTACCGATTCGTATTTTAAATGGGAACTGAATCAGCTCTCACTGTGATTTAGCCCTTCTATGAAGCATCGTTGCGATTAAGCTGTCAGCACTTGCCTGTGTAGTCTTATGCTTTTAAGCGTAGATAAATTAGGACACATTCTGAGGAAAGTGGCAGGAAAGGATGAAAACTGTGTGGTGATTTACTTAAGGACAGACAGAAGGAGCTAAATATGGAGGCTGATTCTGCTGCAGCTTGGTTGGTGGTCAGGCTGGAAGTTTGGGGGTGCTAACTGACCCACTGAACATCCCTTAGCCTGTGTGATTCTCTTCTCTTAATGTCATCGGACAGACTGAACCTCTAGTAAGAGGTGTCCAAGAGGAGTTGCACCACTCACTTTGGGTACTCCCTTTCCAAACATAGAAACTTCTAACCACTTGGAGTTTGAGCTTCATCACCTGGACTGAATTGCCGCTCTGAACCATTTCCTCATCTGTGAAATGGGAATAATATTTCCTAACTAAGGTGGTGTGTGCATGCATGCTAAGTCGCTTCAGTGGTGTCTGCCTCTTTGTGACCCTATGAACTGTAGCCCACCAGGCTCCTCTGTCCGGGGGATTCTCCAGGCAAGAATACTGGAGTGGGATGCCATGCCCTCCTCCTGGGGATCTTCTCGACCCAGGGATCAAACCCACATCTCTTATGTCTCCTGCAACAGCAGACGGGTTCTTTACCACTAGCGGCACCTGGGAAGCCCCACTAAGGTGGTAGTCAGGAGCAAATAGAATAACTGGTGTAAAATGCACATTGTGAGCTGTCTTACAAGAAAGAGAAATATTATGGCTTAAATCTCATCTCCTAGGACTGCAGAGGGGTTGCTGTGTAATTGATGGTAGAACTGAGTATTTGGGTGACTCATTCTCCTGTCCTGGTAAACCTACTATACTTTTGTACAATACACTACAGGGTACAATAGACTCTTAGTAATCAATGTTTGGGGGGGGGCGGAATTAGAGGCTTATACCATCAAGCCTGCATCTCCTCCCCCATGGACAGACCACTGGCTTACCTAGATGAACGAATTTATGTGTGGTGGTTCTGAGAGGTAATGATGAGGTAGCAGTGGCAGGAAGCAGATGAAATTCTAAAATCAAATTTAAATCTTTTATAAACTAGCTTCTGTTAATGCCATTAAAGTGTGGTTCTCATAAAATGATAAGAGTCCATAGTTTTCTCCTGGGCAGGTACATATTTAGAAATGGAGTAGCTGGGGCTGAAGCAGCAATATGACTCATGCAGGGTTTCATTCGTTGAGCATCCCTAAGTCACCTGAGACACCAGGCTAAAGCCTTCAGGATGCAAGAAAAGCAGATGTAACCCCTCTGGAAGCATGGCTGCTGGTACTACACAGGTAAACCTATCATTATACCTGTGCTGAGTGCTATGCAGGAAACACGTCAAGGGAGGAGACAGGGAATTTGACCTGGGGAGGGAGGGAGATCAGGAATGTGAGCTTTAGGAAGTGATATTGGGGTTGGGAAGGATTAAAGCACAGTGAACAACACCTGCAGAGGTTCTGTGCGCTTGCTGTGTGCAGGTTTCCTGATGAGGAGAGAGCAAGCAGCAGAGAGAACAGATATCTTTGCCGAGGGGGGCAGTGATGTGTGAGTGGGGCTTGAACAGCAGGCTGGGCTGGGAGACACGCTTGCTTTTCTTTTACATTAAGAATTACATCTCCATAGAGTCTTAATTGTTTTGTGTAAACAGCTTAGGATTTGTTTTTCTTACAGATTACTGAATTATAAAAAGCATACTGACAATCTTTTTTTTTTAAAGCTGCTCAGAACCTAAACCAATATTTACCATAATTGACTAGTTTGTCAACTCTTTGCATTATTAACCGTCTGACTTTAAAGCCATCTGGATTCATTTCCTTAAAAATCTAATAGATTTTTGTTTAGAATACATATTTTGTATATTTCCAGCTGCATGCATGCTCAGTCATGTCCAACTCTTTGCAATTCCATGGACTATAATTTCTAGCTACTAGATTTCTTTTTATCTATCTACCTATTAAGAGAAAAAACACTATGTATAGATGGACTTGCCAGGTGGCGCTAGTGGTAAAGAAGCTGCCTGCCAGTGCAGGAGATTTGAGACATGGGTTCTATCCCTGGGTCTGGAAGATCCCCTGGAAGAGGGCACGGTAACCCACTCTAATATTCTTGCCTGGAGAATATATGGACAGAGGAGCCCAGCAGGCTTCAATCCATGGTGTCACAAAGAGTCGGACACAACTGAAGCGACTTAGCATGCACACGTGTATAGGATAGCTGTAAATAGACAAAACATATGTATTTATCCAGTTTGAATCTATCTATTCAAGAGCTGATGGACTTGCTTGATTTTCTCCTGTGGAAAGTGCCAGGAGTCTGCATCTGAGACCCCCCTGAGCCCAGCTCTGTGACACTGACAGGTCCGACAGGGCAGCCGCCCAGGCCAGGTCACGTGAGGAAGCTGGCAGAGGACAGCTATCACCAGTGCCTGGTTTTATTTGGTTTGTTATTTCCTCTTCTCTTTTCTCTTCCCTTCTTTTTCCTTCCTTTCTCCCCTCCTTGTTATTTTTCCTTTCATGTTTTTCTTTTTCTCCAAAGTCTCATGATTATTTCTAAGCCTTTATGCTGTGGCCTCATCCCCTGGCCCTAAGAGTGGTGCCAATTTGGGGAGTCCTTGGTGGCAGGGCCTGTGACTTCTCCCTGGTCCTCAAGGAGTCCCTTGGAGGTCACAACCATTTTCCCTTTCGTGGTTCTCTCCAGGCTTAAAATACTGTCCTGGGCACTGAAGGCTGCCATCTTTCCTTTGTCTTGTTTTAATGTCATGGTGCAGATAAGAAAACGATCCCAGCTATTCTAAGCAGAACGGGGTTTCATATGGGAAGTTGGTGCTCACAGGAAAGCTGGAAGGAAAAACTGCTGCTTAGAGAGGCTGCAGGCTGGGCTGGAG